ACAAAGAATATACCTTGACTATACAACAAAGAAACTACCGCACATTACGTGCACTGGGCATAAAAGTTCGCCGTCAGCGATAATAAAGTGCAACCAAACAACAGATTACACATATTGGGCATCAAAGGACACCACCAGTGCAAATAAACACGCCGCCTAAAATAATATACATAACCGACAGCACTTCAACACAGTTCAGGAAAGGTTAGCCCTGCCTGGGAGCTGCAGCGTAAGCAGCTGAGCAAGCTGATGACTGCACTTGTTTGACGTTTATATCCAACTCTAGCCGCATAGCATCAATGACAGTTCTTGGTGTCAGTGATATCACCCTGAAAGAGAAAAAAAAGTAGACAGATAACATGCTTTGCACATATAAGCAACAGGGTTGTCAATTCATCCCATTTCTTAGTGGCAAATAAAGAGACGTGGATTACAATAGAATAAAAAATGTACACACTTAAGACATGGCAGGAAATGGCATTGTGCAGGAGTGGCCAGCTTCACCACACCACGGATTACAGATCAAGAACACAAGCATACATGCAGTGCTAAAGAATGTATAAACATCGATGATGAGTGTATTGTCAATTTATCCCATTTCAGATTGGTAAATAAAGAGATACAATTTAAATAACATGAACATAATATGCATTGTTCATAGTTAAGACATAGCAGGATATGACATTGTCCTAGAGTTGGTAGTTTGACCACATCATTGGATTACAGATCAACAAGCATACATGCAGTGCTAAGTAAGATCACTTGGTATGTTTAGTTTAATTTACATGGTATGAATAAGGAACTAGGTTGTACAACTAAAAAATGAAATTGAGGCAAAACTTATGTTTATGAACTTCATAATAAACTTTAAACATGCAATTTGATGCAAACGACAAAAATAAACAGCAGTTGCAGTCATTGCTATTCAAATATACACAATAGAGTTTGAAGGCTCGAGAAGGACAAACATACGTTAGTAATGAAGATCGGCTCTATAAAGCCCTTTTCCATGTTGATGGCCGGGCAATTCAAGAAGTTTACCACCGAGTCTTCTTCATAAGAATTGCCTTCATTCTAAGTTTTGTTAAGAGTAAATACAAAAGTGATAGTATAGGAACAAATGGAGATTATTTAAGCTAACATGCAGAGTGATGCTACAAAATCAACTAGCTATAAATATAGGTACAACATACAGCCAAAAGGTACTTACAAGAGTAATGCAGAGCTAAACATGTTCAGTAGCATTGATTTTATTCAACATTTTGGTAAGAGTAAACATAGATCAGATGTGTACAAAATGGATGCCAAGGGAAAATAAGCTGCAAGGTGATGGTACATGAACAACTAGCTGACAGTATAAGTACAATGATAAAGTACAATACATACTTACAAGAACAATGTAGAGCTAAACTTTTTCATAAGCATTGAGTTTATTCTACATTAATGTAAGCATTAATATATATCTGATAATTAGGAGATAACCGTGGATATGCAGGTTATCATGCACACTGATGACACATAATCAACCAAGTATGAATGTAAGTACAACGATACAAGACAACAGGTACTAACAAGAGCAAAGCAGCGAGCAACATAGTTGCAATATCCTAGGTTTTGTGGAGCTGGTTCTATTGCCAATAAGTGGAGTGTTGTCTAATTTTTGCAGTACCACCACCTTTTCAAGGACTTTGCTACTACTGCTTCAGGTTCTGCAATCACTCTCTTACTTTTGGATGTCTGATACACAAGAGCAGCATTTGAATGAAAAACATGGTATGATGACAAATGGAATGAATATTGATAATGGGTGGGCATGTCAACTTCACATATATGATGAGTAAACTAAGCACATGGCGGTGCAAAGAAGAAGAAGAAATGCAAGACAACTTACGCATGTTACGTGCAGCCAATAAAACCTTGCCAGATTAGAACAGGCACCTTGTAGGGTGAATAGGATAGGCCATCTACCTTTGACTCCTTAAGCCCAGAATGGTCATTAGGATCATATTCTGAACACGAATCTGTAGGTGGGGAGGGTGTGGGCTTCATTCCATCCAGAATGGAACTCAACTCCTTGATGCCATGTTTGTTAGTCATTGCACTGTTCTACGATACTCTTCTGATGTGCGCATTCTCATATTCACTGTGATTTTGTTCAATATCTTAGAAGCATGACAACATAAATAGTAGTGAGATTATCTTTATAATGTAGATGATATTCTAATATAATAAGGGGTCCTTGTAAACCCTTGTGTGCTATTACTGGATTTTGATGAGATAGCCCTTATGTGCTGTAATTTGGTGCGTACAATAATATAATCTGGCACAACTATACAAAAAATAGGCTCTGTGTTGGGAGCTCCAGAAGTAAGGATAGTTGGCAGATGATAGGTTCATAATATGATGTATTGTAAGTTTATTGTGAAACCATGACAACGAGAGTGCACAGAGAAATAGTATTCCAACATGTCTCTATATATGGCGCACATGCATTTCAAAACTCACGTAGTAACATTAGCTGACCAATTAAATGTAAGCTTTGGAAATGTGAGTGGCATGTAGTTTCGCTTGAAGGATGGAGTGCTGCTAATACGACACAAAGCAACTACGGAGATTGTAATATCGATAAAAGGGGGACACCATAAGCATCATAAATAAATCAGGGAAGTGAAACTGGCTGGAAAATAGGGGGTTGTATTGTCGTTACTAATCAAAAGCCTATCGATCACCTACATGCCAGCTCTATTCACCTGAAGACGCGCTACTGTTACTATCAGTCTAGTCTCTCAAAGGCCACACAACTCCCATCATTTCCAGGATATTATGGCAGACCAACTCGAATTGCTGAAAGCAACTTGCAGAAGCGGCAAAATAGACCCGTCGGCGGCAGATGTCCCTGCTTGCCTTCTTGATGAGGAACATACTTTACTTATTAAAGAAAAATAGGAGAGGAGCATCTTAAAGAATAGAAGAGGAAGCATATTATGGAGATTCCGTTTCTTTCTATACAATGTTGGTTGCCCACCCATGATGAATCAGAGCATCTAAAGAAATGCAATTCCATGTTGTCTCTCTCTCTATGTGGCCACAGGCATTTGGAAACTCAAGTGGGAACATTAGCTGACCAATTAAATATATGTATGTTAACTAAGATGAATATCATGTCACATTCGTATTGGAACAACTAAGCTTTGGAATTATGATTGGTGTGTTGTTTAGCTTTAAAGGGTGGACTGCTACTAGTAGGACACAAAGCACCTACGCAGATCATAGTGTAGATATAATGGGAAAACCCTAAGCATCACGAGTAAAATGAGGAAAGTGAAACTTACTGGAAAATATGTGCTAGTATTGCCGGTACGGTTAGAAAGGCTTCGGGTACCAGCTCTCTACAACTGAAGGCGCAGTACTGTTACTATCAGTCTAACTCTCAAAGGCGACACATACAACCGAATATGAAGAGTTGAAAGCGTCCATGACAAGCGACATGAAGACCAACATGAAGAGTTGAAAGCGTCCATGACAAGCGGCCGAGTAGACCTGTACACTGCAAATATCCCTGCTCCTCTTCACTACAAGGAACATACTATACTACTATTATACTCCCTTTGTTCCTAAATACAAGTCTTTATAGAGATTCCACTATGGATCACATACGGATGTATATAGATACATTTTAGAGTGTAGATTCACTCATTTTGCTCCGTATGTAGTTCATGGAGGAATCTCTACTAAGACTTATATTTAGGAACGGAGAGAGTACTTATTAAAGAAGAACAGAAGAGGAGCATGCTAAAGAAGAGCAAGCAGATTTTGGATAATAAAATGTTCATTGCCTACACATGATGAGCCAGAGCGCATAAAGAATGCAACTCTCTGTTGTCCCTCGATATGTGGTGCACATGCTTTTCGAAACTAAACTAGGAACATTAGCTGGCCAATTAAACATTCTCTATTTTGGTACAACATGTCAGCATCATATCAAATTCGTATTTGAGCAACTAAGTTTGGAATTATGAGTGGCATGTTGTTTGGCTTGATGGGTTGAGGAGCACTGCTTGCACGTCTCGAAGCACCTACGATGATGGTACTGAATATATAGGAATGTCTACATGCAAGTCGCCTGACTTTCGTCATTTGGGCCAGTCGACCATGTTAGACGGTTGGATGAAGATCCTACGTCTCCTAACCCTTCTTCCCCTACAGACCACCGCCCCCGCCCTCCCCTGAACCGTTCACCACCTCCTGTCTTTCGTCACCCCCGGCCATCCCTGTAGCCAAC